ATACATTTTACAACCTGACAGCAAACTTTTAGACCCTTTTACAGTCCTAGATGTTTGCATTACATCTAGTGAAAATCAATTGAAGTCTGGCTGGCTGTTGTATTACTTTTTCACTTTTATTCTCCTTCATGATCTTTCCGTGGTTGCCCTTGCTCTGCTAGGAAGCTTGATACGCACAAAAACCAACACAGATGTCTTTGGTTTGGGTTTGACCAGCAGTTGGCCAGAAGCTACTACCTGGTAAAACTGCTGGTAGCCATAACACATGGTAGTTGTTCACATCAGGAGTTTTCTCACTATTCCACAATATTCTCCATTTCTGTTTTGTAATGTAGATGTCAAACTGTATTTTTATTATTTTTGTCCCTTTTACCTTATCCCACAGTAGCTGGTAGGGGGAGAGCCTTTGGTACTCATAGCAGTATGATCAAATCAAGTGGCTGTAGTTGTAAGAGTGGGCATAAGGGGTGGTGCTTGCTCATCAGTTTCAATATTTTCCTTTTTATTACTTAGAAATAAAGTGTCTGTGGCTTGTGTCCTTAGGGGTCTTCTTTCTGTTTTGCTTGCAGTTATCCTGGCATCCAACTAAGGAAGGCTGCTTGGCTTTTGGAACAGATGATGGAAAAGTTGGCATATTTGACACCTGCTCCAGCAGGTAAGAAAGTAGCTTTCAGATTCATTAGTCAGATCCTGCTGGTATGTTAGCATGCATAGGTGCCGTGCTCTTTCCTGAGGTATATTTTTACTATGACACAAGAGCAGGGTTAAATTAAAACTTGTCAAACAGTTGGATTTTCAGTACATCTTTTCATCTCTCCATTATGTTTGGTAGCTTCTAAGGTAATCATTATTTAAGGTAAACTGACAGTTGCTTGACCAGATGATGACCTGTGGGAAGGCATCGGTGAAGGAAAACTCTAGCCAGAAAGACATTTTCAGAGAAGGGAGAGCAACATGCAGGTGAAGGTCATCAGGGCAGTTTCGGTTATGTTTTCAGTAGTGTCCTACAAGAGATGTTAAAGAAGGCTTGGTTGAGCCATCGCTTTAGTATGTTGAAACACCTGGTGCCTATTTTCACAACTGGAAATACGTTACTTTTATTTTTGTGTGTGTGTTTCCCTTTGCCAAAACCTGACTGCCCCTGCTTCCTTATCTTCCTGCCTAGTGCTAAGAATAAGCCACCTCAGATCTCCAGTACCTACCACAAGAAGACTGTATACACATTAGCCTGGGGGCCTCCAACTCCTCCTCTGTCATCTGGTGAGTCTTCCAACACCTTGTAACAAAGTAGGTCATCCACGCAGAGCAGACAGATGCCATGAAGTTGATACGCTCTCCTTTCTTAGGAGAAGGAGCCCCATTTGCTTGGTAGCAATCCTTTCTAGGAGCTAAGAATGCATTCTGCTTGAGGAATTGCTAGTAAGTTTTGCAAGGTAGCAAAACAAACTCTTTTAGTTTTTTAATTGTAGTAGCTTCAGGAAGTAAGTGGGAGAGGAGTACCACACTTCTGTGCTTGCTTCAGAGTATTACAGACCAGTAACTGTCTGCACGGGCTCCCTACAGTAACTGCATTGGATCAAATTTGAATTCCTTAGCTCCACAAGTATGTTTCTACCATTTCAACAGCTCCATTATCTCTTCTTGCACAACTGGATTTTTTTCAAGGACCAAGGTTTAAAGGCAATTTTAATGGTTGCAGTGATTGTGCTATGGAGACATCTATTGGTAGAAATGCAGGGTCCATTCAGAGGGTTGTTTTGTGAGAATTTCCTGCTGCCAGATCACATGCAATAAAGGCCTTTTAAAACAATGTTCTGATTTAGAGTGGGTTTAATTACTTCTGCGAGGACTGATGAAGAACATCACATTCTTAGCGTTTTTTCTCTGTTGGATAGGAGGAGAAGGCGAACAGCCCTCTGTAACTTTATATAGTTGTGCTGGAGAAGGTATTGTTTTTCAACACAACCCTTGGAAACTTAATGGAGAGGCAAATGACATCAACAGAGTCATCCGAGACACTAATTCAATCAAAGTGAGTATGATCTGGGGATTTTTTTAACACATTTTTAGTAAGCATAAGTCAACTGAAGTAAATCAAACTATATTGATTTATATCAGCTGCTTTTGGCTGCTGCTTTGAGTAGAAGACCCAGTGGGCTGGGTTAAGAGACTAATGTCACAAGCAATGAAACAATCATTTTTAGGCATCTAAATTGTAAATTGTACATCACTTTTGTTTGAAGTGGAAAGAATAGAAATAATGACAAGTAAACTTTGATTTGTTTTGAAAGATGATAGGATTTGCTTGCAATGTCTGGGGCTTTCCAAGGAGCTTAAGGTAATCAAGTATGAAGGTCCTATTGGAATCCATGCAAACTTGCTTTGAGACATTTCACTGAACTGATACAAGAAATCACTGCTTCTTGCATCAGTTCATTCAGTCTTTCTTAATTGCTCAAGTTTATGTCACTGCTACAAAATGCAATGGACCCTTGTGTGACTTTCATTTTGCAGACTAATTGTAGCTCTGTCCAGTTGCCAGTCTTGCTCTGTTAAATGTATGCAAAAGAGATTTAAGAGTTTTTGGCAATGGTTGTGTCTTCTTTCTACAGCACAAACTGCCTGCGCGTACAGAGATCAGCTGGAAACCAGATGGTAAACTCTTGGCTCTTGGCAACGAAGATGGGTATGTTTCCCTTGTAGGTTAAGGCTGTATACATGCAGATCCTGACTAGAACCACTGTAGTGAAGCAAAAGTATTTTGTATTGCCCTGCTTTGTCTCTGTTCCTTCACTGCCAATGTATTTGAATTGTGGTAATACAGCATTCCTTGCTGCTACTTGACTGCTCTGGGCATGAAGGATCTGCATCATCATGTTGAATTATTGTTCAAGAATCCACTCATAGTTTAAACACACTTTTGCTGATGTACTAAACGAGGCTTTGAGTTCAATCCAGGAAAGAAAAACTCATTTAGTTACTCTTATTTCATGTTCTGTCATTCTGCTCATGCAGGATAACAAAACTATTCCCATTTCCACCAACTACTGTAATTCTTACACTGTTTTTCTTACATTTCAGCTCAATTGAAATATTTCAGGCACCAAACTTGAAGTTGCTCTGCACTATCCAGCAGCATCATAAACTGATTAACGCTATTCGTTGGCATCATGAGCATGGAAGCCAGCCAGAGCTGAGTTACTTGATAGCTTCAGGCTCAATCAATGCCACTATTTACGTGCATAATCTGAAGAGTGTCATAGGTAACAGTTTGCAGATTATATTTCATGTCTTGGCATCTTGTTTTGGTTTACTCCCAGTTTGTCTTGCTGGCTATACTTGATCCTTTTCTTTTTTGTTTCAGAGAGCACTTCAGAAAGTCCTTTAACAATAACAGAGCCTTTTCGAACTCTGGCCGGGCACACAGCTAAAATCACAAGTCTTTCTTGGAGCCCCCACCATGAGGGAAGATTGGTGTCTGCTTGCTATGATGGTACTGCACAGGTATTATTCCCCAGCCACTCAGAAGTGTGTTTATTTTAGTTTCAAATCATCCATTCTACAGTGTTTTAGAACCAAGCTGACTGAACAGCAAAACTTCTTTTGTGAGGTAAACTACTGAAGTACAGCAGATTTATCTTTGGTAATCATCTCCTTGTTCTGGATACCTGATATGCAGCTATCTTTGTTTTTGCAACTTGAAAATTGACTTGTAAGTCCAGGTCTTTGGTTTTGCAACTTGAAAATTGACTTGTAAGTCCAGTCATTGTGTTCATATTAGCACTTTTGGTTCATTAAAAATTAAAAATGTTACGCAAATGTACCAGTGCAAACAAAGGAAGCCATGAATTTTCCCCATTTGCATGTTGGTATTGGAAATACCTGCAAAAAATAAAAATGTTACGCAAATGTATCAGTGCAAACAAAGGAAGCCATGAATTTTCCCCATTTGCATGTTGGTATTGGAAATACCTGTGCAAACTGTCTAAATGAGATGCTCCTACAAGTGCAAATGACTGAACAGAAAATGCAGAGTATTAGGGGAAGACGAGACTTTCAGTAATTGGATTTATTTCTTGTTTATAAGGTATGGGATGTTATGAAGGAAGAACCACTCTGCAACTACCGAGGGCACCAGGGCCGGCTACTGAGTGTCCAGTGGTCACCAGTGGATTCAGATGCTGTTTATACAGGAGCAGACGATTTTTCTGTTCACAAATGGCAGATCTCAAAGCAAGAGCATACACGGCCTCCTCAGGGTAAGTGTATTCAATCAGGAGATCCCTTCCTGAAGATGATGTTGGAGCTGGGAAATAGAGGGTCACTAAGTTGAAATGGTCTAAGTTTTTATGATTAATTCAAATCTGGCTACCTCTTCGGGAATAAACTAAAGTTTAAGTTGTAGCCTTAATTGGAAACTAAATGTTGATCTTGAAAGACAGACAGCTAATACACTAAAAATCTCTACAGATAATACTAGGGTAACTTTTGCAACCCTTTACAGGCAAAAAGAGTATAGAACTGGAGAAAAAAAGAAGTATGCAACCAAAAGTCAAAACCAAGAAGAAGAAAAAGTCTATAGAAAAGAGTCCAGCCAAGCAGGATCTAAGTGATGGCATGAACGGAGATGAAAACATGAAGGAAATGTTGCTAGAGGAAAATGGAGTGTCGAACCACGAAGGAGAAAAAGAAGCTCAGGAGGCAGAGTTCACTGATAAAGTCTCCATGACCGGTAATAATCAAACTGTCTTACTTCAATGGTTCCCAGACTGTTTAGCCCTCAGAGCATCACCAAGTTCAATATTTTCATGCAGATTTTCTCATAATACAGTTTTATTGAAATAGTTCACTTGAAGGAAATATGGTTCTGGAATGCCTTTCATAATTTTCTAAACTAGTTTGTGACAAATTGTCTTTAAATAAGAAGATTCTGGCCTAACAAAGTTACTGTGTTTGGCTTGAAACAATGTCATTTTTAATCAGTGTTCCCCTCTGAGGATAAATCTTACAATACTGGTGGACCTTCATTAGTGTCTGTTGGCATCTTCTTTAGCTTTCTGACAGTTCTGTAATGTTTTCTTAATATTTCCTTTCCCTAAAAAGCTATTAAGTTCTATGGCAAAGCAAAGCTTGGTCTCTGTATTTTAAAATTACTGCAATATTGAATATGTCAGTTATTCTGTTATGGGCTTTTCCATGTATTGTTTTTCCTTTTTTAAAATCCCTTTTTCATCACTTAACTCCACAGTGTCCAAGGATACGTCTTCAACTGCATATAATTACTCATCATTCAGTTTGCCAAAGCCTTTTGCGACCCAGAAAGCCACTCCTGTGAAAAAGGATCCACCTAAAGAGAAACCAGGTATGTAATGTTTCAGGGATTTTTAACAGTCCCACATCCTCATTCTAGGCTTTTGTTTGGCTGCAGCTTCCCTTCCTAATGTGACACTGAATAGGTGCCAGAGAAAGAATAGTATGCTATTAAATCTCTTAAACGTTTAACGTGGGCTCAGATACTGCTTTTTAGTTGCTAGTTTCATTCCAGGCAAGATGGGCAGAAACATACACAAAGTGATCAGTGCTCACAAGTCAAGAGTTCTCGTAATAGAGGTGCATGTGGCACTTGAGCATCTGGTTTTTGTTTTCCCTGTGTGAGGAAGAGGAGGGTTTGGACTCTGTTGGAGATTTCTGCTCTAGGAGACTCTTGTAGCTGTGCAGCAGCGACTAAAATGTGCCTGATTTTTCAGCTCCTGATGCCTCTCTGAAGAAGAGGAAGCCTCGTTCTATTCTACCCTTCAGCACATTCATGGATCACAGATCCAAAGATGAATTGCATCAGGATTGCTTGAGGTTGGCTACATGTCTGAAAACCAAAGGTATCAGTCTAAAACTAAAATCCTTAGAGGGTGGGTGCTCTGAAGTATTCAGAGGCTTGTGTCCAAGGACTTTGACCACTAGGCATTATTGTTTTTAAATCTTTATCAAAGTGTGTGACTAGCTGTGGTCTTATCTAACTTCTCTTGCAGTGCATCAGCACTCTGTAGCCACTCCAGACAGATTTTGAGTAGGATCCTATGTTGTGGAGATAGGGTAGAATTGTCTGCACATGTGCAAAATGTTTTTCACCTTAAGTAGTATAATATCAGCAAGAGAAAATAAGCCATGAGGGAGATGTTTGTATTCTCACAGTATTGTTCCTTAGAGCATGCAAAGGAACGTGCTGTGTTTGATTTAGAGTAATTGTTCTGCACAAACATGGTCCTTCTGCTCAAACTTAGATGTAAGTTCTGTGTGTTGATCTGCAAAAGTGAGAACTTGTTAAATCTGCTATACAGGAAGGAAAGTAAAAGATGTAAGTATTTGTCAGCAGTTGAGTGTGATGGAGTGGTACAGTGACTTTGCAGGTCTCAGTTCCCAGTCTTGTACCAAATCTTAAATATTCATTCTCTTTATCTGGTTTAGATAATAATGAAGATGTGTCCCCTGACCTCAAGGATCGCATCCACTTGGGACTCTTCGCAGACAGGGCTTCTCTGCACGAGATGATTGATGTGGAAGGTGAGTCAAATAATGAATGTACTTTGACAATATGTCCATTGTAACTGGTACGTTCGAGGAGAAAACAAATTGGGGAAAATGCTTGAATGTTTCTTTTTTTTTACCCTGGATTAAAGTATAGGATTAATAATGCAGGTCTGTGTGAAAAGAAGACGACCTATTTTTTACCAGATAGGTTTGCTTCTTTCAGAAACAAACATGCAATGTCTTAAGTTTGAATAATCTTTTGCCAAGGTATTTTACTATGGCGAACAGTGCTGTTGCACTTTTGCTGATGGGAAGTGTGTTTGCTTCCAACAGGAAAACATCACTTGGAGAACGGGCATCCAGAGCTCTTTCAGCAGCTCATGTTGTGGAAAGGAGATATGAAGGGTGTCCTCCAGGCAGCTGCTGAGAGGGGAGAGCTGACAGACCAGCTGGTAGCCATCTCCCCCATGGGTAGGTTTGTTCTGGTAACACATAAGCAGATGGAATTGGCTGCCAAGGGTAGCCTTGTTCTGATTGTTCTGGGTTGGAAACTCATGATTGTTCCAGACTGGAAGTTGCTGCTTTAACTGCCTGATAACAAAAATCAAACACAAAACATATCCTATTTGTGACAAAGACCTGGATGTTTTTGGGTAACAGAGCACTGAACAGGCTGCCCAGAGAGGCTGTAGAGTCTCCTTCTCTGGAGACATTCAAAACCCACCTGGACGCCTTCCTGTGTAACCTCATCTGGGTGTTCCTGCTCCGGCAGGGGGATTGGACTGGATGAGCTTTTGAGGTCCCTTCCAATCCCTAACATTCTGTGATTCTGTGATGTTTTCACAAGCACTCTTAGGGTGGGATAGCAGGAAAGAGAGTGGTTTCCTTTGGGACTTCTTGAAGGAGCAGGCCCATCCTTCCAAGCACAAAGCTGGCTCATTGTAGTATGTCCTTCTGGCTTGCTGTTGGTTTAAATTAGCTTTTAAGTTATTATACTGGTAGTGAAGTCCTACAGTTGTCTTCAAGCCCTAGTGTTGCCCTGTTTCATCACCTCAGTGACTTGTTAGGATGGTTAAGAAACAAGGAACTAATCTGGGGCAGAGAAGAGGTACATGTTGAAGAAACCAGCGATAATTTAATCCCACAGGAATTCTTTCAGTTTTAAAACTTTGCCTCTAACTGTATTGCCTTCTCTTTTGCAGTTGGATATCAGGCTTGGGTGTGGACAGTGGAAGCCTTTGCGAAGCAGCTGTGTTTTCAGGAGCAGTATGTGAAGGCTGCCTCCCATCTCCTGTCCATCCATAAAGTGTATGAGGCTGTCGAGCTCCTGAAAGTGAACAATTTTTACAGGTTGACATATATTTATGTTTAGGATTTGTTTTCTAGTGGGGTGTAGTTCAGATGTTTTTGATCACTTTTTGTACACAATTAACTTTTCTATCTGGTTTCTTTTCAATTCTTCTTTCTAGGGAAGCAATCGTAATTGCTAAGGCCAGGTTGCGTCCAGAAGATCCAATTCTGAAGGATCTCTACACCAGCTGGGCAGCTCTGTTAGAGAAAGATGGCCATTATTCCATGGCTGCCAAATGGTGAGTGTTACTGGGATGAAGACAGAATTGGTTCCATGCCCAAAACGAAGAAGGTTCTTGGTTTTGTAGCAGCTGAAATCAGTTAACTGGTCTGGTCATTATTTGTCTAAGGTGCTTTCAGAGCCTGATCTCACTGGACTCCCTCTAGTGTAGGAGGGAAAAGAAGCTCCAGAGGGCAGTTCAGAGTAGAAGGTCCACATGCCATCCTATAGTAGAGCCATCTCTTTCCATAAATGTTCCTGAAGGTCTTTGAAAACTAGGCTAGCAAGACTAAGATTAGGATGTATACAAAAAGACTCTGCCCTGGTGAGACCTCAGTCTCCTCCAAGCTAAAGAGACCCAGCTCCCTCAGCCTGCTGGCTGCCCAGAGAGGTTGTGGAGTCTCCTTCTCTGCAGACATTCAAAACCCGCCTGGACGTGTTCCTGTGTGACCTGGTCTGGTGATCCTGCTCTGGCAGGGGTTGGACTGGATGAGCTTTCGAGGTCCCTTCCAACTCCTATAATATTCTGTGATGCTTGTGGAAAATACAGGTTTATCTTCATCTGTATGTTAGTGCTATTGCATTGCAATGCAGCTCAAAACCAGTATCTTGGTACTAATCAAGTCGATTTGCGTTTATGTCTTTTCAGTTATTTAGGAGCTTCCTCGCCCTATGATGCAGTTAAAGTGCTGGCAAAAAAGGGGGATGTGACATCCCTTAAAACTGCTGCTGAGCTGGCGCTGATATCTGGAGAGGAGGAGTTGTCAGCAACTTTGTCTTTCAGATGTGCCCAGGACATGCTGTTATCCAGGAACTGGGTGGGAGCTCAGGAAGTCCTTCAGCAACATAAAACTTTGTTTGTGAGTCTCGTGGTTTCCTTTCTGCTTTCTTTACCATCATCTCTCCAGATTAGCTTGTTTAACTTGGCACCACTTCCCATATGTTAATAGTCCACAGGGAGTCCTTCAAGCTCGTTTTGCCTCAAAATACTTTCCTATAAGTTTATTGCAGTGACCCTATGAAAAAGCATGAGGCTTTGTAGAGGCAAAGGGCCTATGGTGGGGAGGCACATAGGCTCTGTGCTTGTTAGTTATCTGAGAAGCAGTTGAGAAAAGTGGGATTTTTTAAGGATGTAATACTGATCATAAGAAAGAAGTGAAGGAAAGTATTCGCTGTTTACATTAAAGGAACAAATGAGCTATCTGTAAGTGCATCTGCTGGGGGCTAAATCCAGAAATTCGTTTTCGTGTGGACTGTGAAGCAGAAGGCTATCTTAGCTTGTTCTGAGGTTTCCTTCTGCCCTTAGAGTCTCTGAGTCTATCAGCATTGTTCTTTGGTAGCTGCAGTTGTGAAAGTCTGTCATCAACAGGCTGCCACAAGCCATGATGTTCTTAAATTTGTCCAGCTGCTGTGGACAGTAACGGTTTGGTTTTCTTTTAGCAGCAGCTCAGTGCTCTTTTTTTTCTTGTTGAAGGGACAAAGACTCGTTTTCTGCCTTAACGAACTGCTTTGCAAGTGCCTTAGTGAAAGAAATCCCTGTGGCCGAAAGAGCCCCGTGCCTCCCTGTTACAACAGCTGGGAGCTGAACAGAGAGGCCTCGTTTTTTGAGGCAGTGATAGAAGTGTGGCAGAATGCATTGGGCATGGACACCACCGAACAAGCTACGCGTGCATGGGAGCAGCTGCGCAGTGTTGAGCATCCTCCTTCTACCAGCAACACGCACCCAAAGCAGGTAAATGGAGTTAGACTGTGTACACACTAAGCCTTGCTATGGCATATGCAGTAACACGCAGCTACTTTGTGGTGTGCCAGCCATGCCCAGGGGATTGATGTCCACACCCTGCTGCAGGATGAGGTTGTAGTCTGGGAGAAGTAGATGATAGGCAGCTGGGACAGCTTGCATAGCCACCAGTTTGTTTCTGCATTTGTTTCCGTGCAGGGTAAGAACTGAACACGGTGTCAGTGATGAGCACGGAGATCACCGAGCTGTGCTGGCCGGGTGGGAGTGATGGGCATAGTTGAGTAACCTTGGTGGCGACTCAGGGTTTTGTATCAAACTGTTAGGAGTTTGTTAAAATATCCTGGAGTTCAGGACTGTTCATAGGCGGTGCTCCTGCAGCACTTCTCTCTGACCACAGGGGTCACTGACTTCTGGTGTACTCCCACTTCTCATCTGTTCAGTAGGACACATGCAAGCACAGCTGCTGATTTTACCGTTATAACATCTGCTGCATGAAGGAGACTTATGTAAACTGCATTGTAGTTAAAATTGCTTTTGGTTAAGTCATGTGCTTCTGGGCTTTTCCACAATGGTCACAAGCTATGAGTAATTCATACTTTGCAGTAAAACTACTAATCATGCTCTCTGGTGCTTCCTGTAGGTGCTTCTCCATATCTCGCATGATCTGACCCTTGCAGCCCTGAGCTATCAGACTGCTTCATGGGATGAGGCAGTGAAAAGTATTCTCAGAGCTGTGACCCGCAGTTACGATGCTGGTAATTTCACTCTGATGCAAGACATTTGCAGTATCATCCTCCCTGAAGGTAAGTCTCTTCTTGTGTATCTCCTGGCACTGTCAGATAGGGGCATCTTCTTGTAAGCACAGCTCTGTGTCCATTAATAGTACTTAGGCATAATAATGGTTGGAATTTTGCTGTAGATGATGAGAACATGCAGTCTCATGCTAGCTAGAACAAAGTATTGCATTTAAAAGATGCCAAAGATGTCTGCCTTTGCTTTCTTGTCTTCTGCACCACTCTGCCAGTATCTGAGTAAATCTCGAATGTGGGTCTCCAGGATAGCAGTTTACCAGATCTGGTCATCATCTTCGGAACTCTCTATAAACTATTTGTAATCCTTTTTTCATTATTAGGCTGTGATAACCTGAGAGAGAAATTGGACAGCACAAATTCTGAAAGCATGGACACTTGCAGAAGTTTAGAGAGCTTTGTGGCTTACAGACTGCTGTATGACCTGTGGTGGAACCCACCCAAAGATGCCCTTCTCTTGCAAAAGGCTGGTTTGGATCCTGTGCTGTGTCCCAGTGAGCAGACAGGTCTTGAGAAGAGCTGCATTTCAGGTCAGTCCTCTGAAGAAACTCCTGACCAGACTGCAGTTGAGATGGATGAAAACCTCTGCAATACAACTGAAGTTCTTAGGTGCGAGACACAAAGCAACTCAAGAACTTGCTCCATTGATTTGGTAGACAGACAGACAAAACTGAATGCCTGCAAAGTGCTGCTTTCAGAAGAGATTGCTGCTTTACAGAACACCCAGAGAGATATAGCTGAGGTCCAGGAGATTTTAGCAGATATGATCCGCCAGCATCAGCAGCAGAGGAACAGTCTCCAGGAAAACACAAATGGAAGCACCCAGGAAAGCAACCTGCAGCAGAGTTCAGAGACTGAAGCAGACAAACCATGCTCTGATAGCAACCAGATGAATTGGTAAGCTTCAGAACATGAATGGGTGGATTGAAAAGCATTGCTTTTTTGTGCATGATTGCAACAAATTTCTTGTTTAGCTCAGATTGTCTCTAATCTCAACATTGTTACCCAGGGACACTTCAACATACAGCTCACAAGTCTTGCATTTCCCTGGGGCTGAACTGCCATGTGCATAAACTTACTACAGCTGAATAACTTCTTGATACACAGGGTGTGTTGAAACGGTGAATAAACAGGGCAGCTTGAGAAGGGGAGGATAATGAAAAGGACAAGCATTATCTAGGAGGTCTGTCTCCTTGCTGAACAGTTATTTGGGACTTTGGCAAGATCGAGCTAGAGCGTTTAACACTTGTCTGGCTCTCTCTCCTGTACTCCCTGTACACGAGGGAGACTATGCAAGCAATGAAGCAAAACAGTTACTCATGACTCGTGCTCTTTTCTTTACAGTAAAGATGAAGCAAAGGAACCAATTACACTCCCAGAGCTAACGAAGCAGCTTCTAAAAGCAAAGCAGAAACTAGCAGAATTTCCAGACAATTTGAAGGTAAGTTTTCAGAAGAGGCATTGTGGTTCTGAAAAAATGCAGCCTTTTTGTAAGGGCAGCCTCATCATAGAATCACTTTCACAGAGGAAGTAAGGAACAGTGACTTTCTTTGTGATCCTCTGGCAATTCTGAGAGAGAACTGACACGTGGCATCAGGGTGGTATTTTTCTTTCAAGCTTAACTTTCTCCATGCAGTTGGATAATGTAGGTACATCTCCGGCGTGGGGAACTCAGTGGGATGTTCTGTATGAATCTCCCCCATGCATTTTAAGCGTAATCCCTTGTTACTTAGAATTATGTGTGCAATGCTAGTTTTGATGAACAGTGAAATCATAAATTTCAGGTATAAAATGGCCTTTATAGATACCAATGTGTAGTTTCTGTAGTTCCTATGTTTGAAAACAGGATCTCCTGGGCTGTGTCATCCCCTCTGTTCTCTAACTGTAAAGAGAATCGTGGTAATTGCACAAGAGGGGGCAAACCTGGTTAAACATGAGCTAATGCACTGGAAGAAGAGGAGAAAATGCATCTGACTCATGACTGCCTGTTCCAGAGATCCTATAAAGCGGTGTCTTTGGAGAGCTGGCTGCCCGACTTGTAGTTGAACAATTATAATTGAAAGAGTAGACATTGCCTCATGTTCCTTTTTTTGCAGGTCTTCCCGTTCCCCGACGTGCTGGAGTGCTGCCTTGTACTCCTTCACATTGGATCCCAGTGTCCCCCAGAACTACACAAACAGGCATTGGATCTCCTGAGGAAACACGGTGGTGCTCATCGTTACGAAAAGGCTGGCAGGAGGTTCTTGACGTGACACTTTGAGACCAAACCATCTCCCTTGAGCTGCCTACAGCTGCTTAACACCACCAAGGCTGTTCTTTCTTCAAGTGAAGGCTTGTTTTGATGGGTGCTGTTATTGAAGGCTACTGCTTTGGATAAAACTAGAAAAAAATAATCAGGTTTATTTTACAGACTCACTTGTGGGCATGAGCTACTAACTACTAAAGGAAATTGTGTTAAATTGAGAAGCAGTAGGTGGCTTTGAACTGTATACAGGCTTTTTGTATAGACTTTTTTTTTAAATTTGTTGGAAGTTATGGCAGTGAAAGCTCTTGGAATTTACATGCAAGAGGAACAGTTTTGAGCAGCTCTATCAGTTTTGCTGCAGAGAAGGAACAGTAGCTGCCCTAAGGAAAAGCAAGTTTCTGTAAGCAAACTGACCCTTAAGCTGGTATTGTTCTTAACAGCATTGTGAGTTTATTTTCCCTTCTTTATTAATAAAGTCTTCTACCACCAGGGACTGGCATTTAAGTACTGCTCCATCAGTCAAACTCAGCAGACAAAACAAGTGTGTGCTGTGACTTTGCTTTGCATGGTGAAGCCACCTGTACTACGTAAGAGGGAGGGTGAGATCTTTTACATTTGATTGCAGCACAACTGGCAAGAGAGAAGGGATTTGTCCAGGTCAGGAAAAGTGACAGTCACTGCTTTTAGCAACACCCACGGCTGAACAGACTAAATTTACCATCACTGTAGCAAAAAGCAAAGTACTGTCAAGTTCTCAAGAAGAGCTGCTCTTCAGTCCTAGATTCTGGAGTCTTAAACATGCAACATTTTGACCAGTCATACAGCTTACCTGACAGCTTTGCCTGCTGGAACACAGGAGGTTCCACTGAAATTTGAGAAGAAACTTCTTCTCAGTGAGGGTACCAGAGCCCTGGACCAGGCTGCCCAGAGAGGTTGTGAAGTCTCCTTCTCTGGAGACATTCAAAACCCGCCTGGACGCCTTCCTGTGTAACCTCATCTGGGTGTTCCTGCTCCGGCAGGGGGATTGGACTGGATGAGCTTTTGAGGTCCCTTCCAATCCCTGACGTTCTGTGATTCTATGTGATAGAAAAACTTAATATTTCCTAAGAATAGAATGAGGCTGAAAGTCTTAGTGAACACAACATCTATCGTAGTAATTTCTAGAAGCAAATTTTTAAGTGCAGCAGAAAAGCTCATGGTAGGATTGGGGGCTGAGGGGGTCATGAATTTCAAAGGTTGGTAAGCACAAGAATCACTTAAAGAACAAAAGAAGTAGGAGGCATGGATTTTTCCAGATCAAGAGCTGGAAATGCAGACTTGACAGCAACAAATCTCCTGCTCCAAGCTGACTAAAGCATCAGAACAACTTGAAGAGCAGGAGGTGAAAGCCAGGGGTTACACCAAAAGGAGATCCTTCTGTAGATGTGTTAAGCTGGTGAACTGTTGCCACTAACTTGAGCTTGGTAAATTCTGTACGAAGTACTTGAAAACCAGGAGGTGGAGCTAGCGTGTAACCAAACAGCCCTTCTGTACTTAAGAACCCCTAGAGTAAATAAAACGGGAAAACTTCACACAGAACAGATTTGTCACGAACTGTTCGTGCTGCTGGCTGTGCTGAGCAACAAGCCCAAAGAGAGTAAGTCTCCCAAAGAGATTTTTAAGCTCAACTCTGATCAGCTAGCGTACAATAAGCTCAAAAGCAGATTTTACTAAGAACTACCCCAGTAGCACATCATAAACAGTAGAAGAAAAAGGAACCGTGAGCATCTTCCCTAAGCATGTATTGCTCAGATTCAGATTCCAAAGCCTGAACTTTAGGAACTATAGTGCTTGATGCAAAATCCAAAACAAGGCCTGGTTTAAAAAATTTATTTTACAAAAAATTAAAAACAAGTAGTATTTACAAGCATTTTAAATACCAGCGCTAAACCTCAACTCCTAATGAGGGCTTGTTGAAGCCTGTTTAAAATGCAAGATAAAGTCTTAAAACTTCAAGTTTGCCATATCCAAGAGCTGGGTTTTTGGGGGTTTTTTTTTGCTTTGTGGTTTGTTTTTTTAAGATATGTCATTAAATAAAAAAAAAGTAGACATGAGTAAACAGCTCATTTTTAAAGAAGTCAGAATCCCAAGTTGTTCTTCCATCCTCTACCTACTTTTCAGATGTTCATAATGAAGAGAAATTGAGCTGCTTTGTCTGTTCAGCATATAGTAAAGTTAGGGGCTGGAGAAGGTGGGGAGAAGAGGACCAAATATTTACTGATCTGCTGAAATACCTGTGCTGCAATGAGAAGAGTGAGATCTGTAGGTTAAGCTGAAGACTGAAGTCAGAGTAGTGCTCCAGTCCCCTGTCCAGGTCCTCAAGCAAAGGTGAACTGTTAAGCTCTCAATCTATTTCCATAACAGTTTATTAATGCCCGTAAGAACTAAGCTGAGACTTAGTATGGGTCAAACCTGTACCACGCAGAATTAGAAATCATGAAGAGCTGATCAAGTCAGCTCCAGTAATATCCATTCCCACTGTTATTAAAGCAAATCTCTGAGTATCTTTAGCTGCAAAGATCATTTTAATGTCATCTGTTCCCGAACCTCTGCAGTGATCAAAGGGAGCAATTTCTACAGACTACACAAAGATAAAATAAGCAGAACATGAGGTGAAGCAGTCACCTTCATAACATGCAGAAGTTTAAAAATAAGCTTTATAAAGCACAATTTGGAAATTTGTGTGCATGTCTGTGTCCATTTTCACTGGATTTCCAGACTCTTCGCTCTACTGAATATTCTACCGTTAAGTCTTCCTTGCAGATTCTGTACAGTATAAAGAGGAAAAAAACAGAGGTATTCACAATAGGTTCTGTCTTTTGCCCTTGGTATTAAAAAGATGGCAAACCACAAATGCTGGCATTAGGAATTCAGTCAACTCTCTTCTGGGTTTCAAATGAAGATGCAGCTCTTCAGCAAAACTGCAGGCCGTATTGTAAGTGTCTTTTGTTTGAGACAGTATTAGGGAAAATGGTTGAGGACAGCAGCTGCCAATATGGTAACCACGTTCTGCTGAGAGGTACCGCTCATCACGGCTGCATGTTGTTGATAATAGCCAAAATGCTCATTTTCTCCTGGGCTGAGTCCACATCTTCATTTTGTTTCTGAGCCACTCCTGTGCCAAGGCCATACAACCGCCCACAATACTTTGCATCATCAATTGTATCCTCAAAAAACAACTGCAGATTAAAAAAAACAACAGATATTAACTGCATTTCTAAATCAGAAAGCACCTAATGTTAATTAAACGGCTCATTTGAAGTCAGCCACCTCTACGATACAGTGTGGGAGTTGAAATAAGCACATGGAAGAGAAGTAAACAGAAGAAGTGTGCGCCAATATCAACAATTCCCATTATTGATAGTTTGAAGCGTGATGGCCACACGGCTCAAATAAACTCCAAAACAAAACAAAAACCACATTGTGTACATGGGCATTTGCAGATAGGAACTGAAGAACAACCACAGAGAGGAATACTGCAGTACCTCCTTCATTCTGAAGAATGCCATTCCCGTGAGAAGAGAGTCTGATCCTGCCTGGTGCTGTCGTCCAATGCGCTGCAAATCCAGCTGATCCGCCACTTCTTGAAGGCCGCCCTGCAACAAGAACAGTACACTTCTGATTTTGGAAGAGCCACCTCTTACCAAAATTGCCACGATTCTCCAAAACACAAGGGCAAACACTGATTATAACTCAACACGGATTCCAGCAGTACACACACACTTCTCAAATTGAGGTACCTTGCTTTCCTGCTGCAGATAATTGAGATGACTGTGGGTACATTCGTAGGTTACAAATGCTGGCCCTTTCCCTTCCTCACAAGGCTGTGACTCAACAGACAATTTATTTTCAATTCTCTGAGTGTCTACCAGTTAATCAAGTCACGTAATAGTTCACGTAAGAAGAAATACTGCATGCACCTTGCATAGGGAAGATAAGCACTCTGAATTACAATTACCCCCTGAAACTACTGATACACAAACTGGAAGGTAATGGAAATGTCCCCTATGAAATATACACATGGGTAAGTCTGGGCAGGCAATACATGTTAGATACAAACTTAGTCATAGTTGTTTATGTGTGACTACTGGCTTTTATACACATTCCAGTTTTAAGAGTTGGTCTGTCACTTGGCTTACTGTACATTTACAGTGTTAATACCCATCCATCACTTGCTTGCTGTGGAGATACAAGTACCTTGAGGTTTTTGCAGCTCTTCATTAGGTACTTTACGTCATAGATAGATGGGAAGAAAAGATTCAAGATATGGAAAAATTCATGTTCCTCTTCTGGTAACCTGGAATCTGTCAACAACTTCACCATGTAGCCAAAGTCATATCCACTGAAAACAAAAACATACAGAAACCAGATAAGCAGGCAACAGCTATATTCTGTCAGTACCAATATCTCATATTTCACAAGAGAGTTTCAAATGCTGTAGCTTTCAAGCCCTACTGTTATCTGACATTGACAAAACTGCTCTGGATCAGAGGCAGAATTCATCCCTTTCATCTACATCAATGTAGGACTTTGGAATGCTCCCCGAGTGCCTCTGCTAACCTGCAGAACAGTGAAGCCATTGGGAAGAACATGCTTTTCTTCCCAACACTGCAATTTTCTGTAGCTATAGGCAATAAAGAAAAGCAGGAAACTCTGTAAGTATTTGTTGTGACCACCTCCTCCCTCAAGCCCTTTCACTTGTGATGATATCAAGGACCGGAGGCTTTGTAATCAAGTTGCTTGAAGCACTGCAAGACAGACAACTACACAGATTTCTTCCTTTACATAAACACAAGATGGAAGTTAAGACCACCAACATTTTAAGGAAGGAAAAAAACCTTATTTACAATGCACACAAGTTACTGAGTGTAGAAATCACATTTCAGCTTGTTATTAATGTCTTCCACAGAGGAAAACTGTAACAGCGAAAGGATTTGCAAAGCAATGCATACAGAAAATTCAGACCACAGTAAGCGCCAGTACAAAATGAAGTGCCAAGTGTCCTTACTTCTTAAACTGAGCCTTTGTATCTTTAAGGCCGTTGTAAGAATTGCAGAGTTGCTAATTCTCCTCAAAATCCGTGTCAGTCTCCACGGACAAAAGCAGCAGTGTTTCAATCAAGAGGAGTTTTCTGACTCGCTATGCCAGTGAGCACCTTGGACCCACCTGTGGAAGGACAGCCATTTCACGCTGTCACTGAGGACGACTCCAGACGTCATAAGCAACTCGGCAAAATGCAGGGTGTCGATCCCTTCTTCTTCATGCTTCTGGAACTGCAGCCCAGAGCTGGCCAGGAGGTCGATGGAATCCTGAGAGTACATGTCCTCCCTGAAGCAGAAAAGCAGCTTCGCACTCAAGGTACTAAACAAGTCAGGCTCATTTTAGAAAAATTCCCCCCACTAGATTTCAAAAATCGGAGTGAGCAGTAGGCTCTCTCTGGCTTATGCATTTGTCTCTGGAAAATTCAAACTGAATCAGTTTTAATAGCAATACTGCAGCCTCCTACACCCGTAACAAGCTACTCTGCGACCAGAACTAGTTAATAATTCTGTTGCTAGTGCAAATTCCAAGGATTCCACCTCCACAGAATTGAATGACATTTTGAAAAATGTCCTTTCTGCAAGGCGAACAGAAGCACTACAGACAAGAGCACGGAGGACAGGGGAGTTCTCCCAGATAGGCAGATGTGCAACTCTAAAGCACCAAGCATCATTCCTGTCTACATGTTTCTTTTACACTTCACAGTGCATAAACCTTATCATGTCCTGCTCCATCTCTGGGAGTAAACAAAATGGCATAATGCTTGACTAAGGACGGAGGACGGGGATGAGTGATGGCGTGCATGGTGGAGAGCTCAGCTGGAACCTGACTTCACTTGGTTGTTTCATTTAGGGGGGGAAAGGACACGAGGACACAGAGGGCAAAATGCAGGCCAAATACAGTAATTGAGTCACATGAAGCGATTACACTGCGAAAGCCACTTCAGTCTGACTTCAATGCTTTTAAAAGGCTCACAAATTTGTGGAAGTGAATATTGCAAATTTGGGGTTCCAGAACTGTAGGATCTGCACATACTGGCTATGATGGTTTTCCAATGACAGTTCCGTAGTACTGTTTGATTTATAATACATACAATCAATGTTTTGCCTGATAAACCCGTTTTTATTTCGAGACAGCTCTAGTGGCTATTATGCCAAGTTTGTCTTTGCAAGTACAGGGGAAGAGATACTGAAACTTGTTTCAACTGTGACCCAGGATACCGCAGCATGGAGGAGACAGGAACAGCCACCACACCTCAATAACAAGATCCGTTCTCCTCAGCAGCTGTGACAATGGCACTAACTTTTTTTTTCAGATCTCAGTTTATATTTTAGCATGGATCTGTAAAAAGGCATTTTCCATTCTGCTGAGAACAGCATGCGCATTTATTTTTATAAGATAGACATGCATTTATATATAAGAAATGTATAAAGTTTAAGACTATAACGTTGTTTCAGAAAAAAGTTAAAGGCGCACAGAATTATTCGGGACAGGCTATTTGTAGAAGAAAGGGTATAACTTCCATCATGCCAAAATAGGTTCCCACATAATCCATGTTAGAATCTGAATTCTTATTGCCCAGAACCAGCCTCTGATGATGAACATCACACCAGCATTTGCCAAAGGAAAGCACTACTTCAGCAGAAAAGCCTCATTCCCTGGCTCGGAAGACTCACGTAAGGTTGAATTTGAAGTTGAACTGCCAGGTGTTGATGCCGGAAGGATATTCTCCTTTCTCATTTGTGAAAGTCAGGCCCAGCTGGATAATTTTCAGAAGGTCAACGTTACACCGAAGGAGCTGGTATTGATAGTCTATGGAACTGCGAAATTCACCGATTGGCCTTACAACAACTCCAGGAAACTCTGTGTCCTAGGACAAAAGGAAAATATTCAGTTCCACACCTGCAGGTCTCAGCACTGCATTCTGTGATTTCTTCTGTAAAAAAATCACTTTTTTTTCCTCCTGTTCCATATTCATACAGGGTTTTAAACTGCTACAAGTCAGACACTTGAGAACCCTACAGAAGTTAACTACTGCATCCATACGTTTATTGCAGGTATCCATTCTTGCAGTTTTGTTTTATTCCAAACTAAAAATGTTAAAGTCATCCAATATGCACTACTGCATCATCTAAACATGCCTCTCTTGCAAAGGAATAACTTTCTCACTCTCCCTAAATCTACTAAAATGGGTATTATTTATTCAGTGTTTTCTCTTGTTCTAAGTACAAGTTAAACACCGCACTCTGAGCATCTTCATTTGCTAGTCCAGACAGTGAGCACCTTCACTGGTTTTGAGGAACACCCAATGCCTACGTTAACAAAAAGTACTGCCCATCAAAACTGATCCTGACAGCAGAGCACCCATCTATTAGATGAAAAACATTTTACTTGGCCAGTGACTGTGTGCTATCTTTGCTGAAAACCAAACCTCCAAACCATTTTTTACTCTCAGTTGAGGTCACATGACTTCCACTGATGAGTGTATGCAGAAACTTTCATAGAGTATCCACAGCCGTGTATCTGACAACATTTCTTCCTTGCCCAAGACTTTTTTTTCGTGTCCACTCTTGCAGCACAGCCACCAGAACAGGCCATGAACACACTTTCAAGGAGACCAAACAGAAGCAAGTTTCCCACTGACATACGACAACAAAAAATGAGATTCACTTCCACAACCGCATTCTACACTGAAATCCCACACGTTTTGCAGGACCATGTGTTTTTATGCCACGCTTTTATTAAGGACTCTTGACTCTTCCTATCTTGAAGTTTAGCATCCCCAAGCAAAGCTGGCACAACTTACAGTATCATAACTAAAATCAGTTCTTTATGAAGCTGACGGCTCCAGCCAAGCAGATACAGACTTAAGAGCAGGAAGAGACTCCTCCCACCTGGGGGAGCTTCTGGCCACCTTAAGCAAAGCTTTCTGAACACATTGCCATAACAACAGCCTAAATATTTTTCTTCCACCAGAACAAACATCTGACTCCCTTTAAAAGGAGGCAGCCCAGTCAACTGCTTGTCACTTGCAGGTCTTTTGTCCCACAGCACCAGAGCATCTTCCATCACCAAAGGGAGAAATATATTCCAAAGACAAACACATCAGAGAAAAACCGAAAGATTTAAACCCAGTTCTACATCTGTCCTGTTTCATTTTCTGCAGCATAAAGTAATACCCACTGAATAGGTAAATATGAAGTTAATTCACATTTTTAAGGTGGACTCTCTCTTCCCCATCTTACATTCGATCCATATTCAACATTACTTGTATTAAATTCTGGAAAGCTTCTACTGAACAGCTTTCTAATTTTCCACAACTTCTAGCTCGGTTTGAACAGGGACAGCGGGAAAGAATTTCTCGCACAAAAATCAAAGTCTTTCCAACCCCTTGACTAAGGCAATTAGGTCAAGCCTAAAACATTTACCATGGCAATGTAGCTGTAACTGAGAACAATCTCTCGAATTTTCCTCATCTCTTCTTCCAGATTGTTCGCCCACACTTCACAGATAACCTGGCTGTTCTCTGCAAGGGCTGCTGGCATCTTGCAGAGACCAAAGTAAAGGCAGCTGATGTTGAATTCGGGTGACAGCGTTGAATTGCAAGCTGCGCGATCTTATCCGTGTGCTGCATTAAACAGATAAAGAAATAACGCTTTATGTGAAGAATGAACACTTTGGCAGAGTCAGTCACATCTTCATTTTCAGATTCAAGTAGCCCGTTTAAAGTTTACACCAAGTTTTTTCTTGCTTTTAGCACTTCCTATAAACATGCTGAAGAAGAAGAAACACTAGAGCATCTGCTCAGGATACAAGACCGGATGCACAGTTAGCCCAGTTATTTACAAGAGTCATTCTCCCTGGTTTTCTTCTTCTCCCAGCATAAGCTCTGAAACTTTGAGCATAAAATGTACAGGCAAGGAGTCCTCATGTTAATAATGCTCAGCTCTTGCAGCAGCTTTTAAAGCCAGTAACAGAACGCTTTACAGACTGCACTGAGAGACAAGAGCTTCTCGGATCTAACTCAGGAAACACGGAGGTGGTTCAGCTTAGGCCGATGGCACTCCCGGCACCGAGGACAAATCGCTGGTCGTTTACCATCTCCTGCACGAACACGGCAAAAACGGTCCCAGCTTTCCCCAGCCGGGGCTCACCCGCTGCGGCCACCGGCCGGGCCCTCGTGCCGTTACCCAGAGGTCGCC